TCTCACTATCCATGAGTGGTTCTCTGATCTGTGGAGCCAGTGAGTTCTTGTAAATATTCTTGTAAGATTCCCAGAGAACACTGATATCTGCCAGCCTGACGCCTGAGCTACTGTCTCTAACTAATCAGTCTAAGTACATGTGAGAAACACCTAAAGCTAGAATGTCAGAAAACACTTATGGGGTCAGCTAAATTACTCTAAGCTAGAGCTGTCTTACTTTTCCCTGTCACATCAACAAAGCCCCTTAAGAAATATTCTCCACACGTGGCTATGCATAGGCTACAGCGTACCTAAGGAGGAGATTCAACAAAAAACTATACACTGAGCTTTGTGAGGGAAATGAGGAACAGGTGAGCAGGTGGGCGGGGAGGTCAGGTGATGGGAATGGTGGGAAAGATGTTAGCTCAGTGCGGGGGAGAGTGGCTGGATGTGGGAGTCAGGTGACTGAGACAGATGGAAACATCTGAGGACACCTGGTGGACAGGTGGAGAAATGGTAATGAGAGGTGGGAATGTGTCTGAAAGGAAGGACAGAGAGGCAGAATGGAGAAACACAACTGAGTCAGACACTGTGACCCCCCTCCAGTTAATCTGTTCATGTTTGTGTTATTAAGATATAAAGATACACTTTGGTGTGGGTTTGAGTAAGAAGCACTCGTGTTTTGCTCTGAAGTGTTGGCTGTAATTTTTGCTGGGAATATGGGAACACCTCTGGGCTTGGCAGGGCTGAAACCATGAGTGAAACTACTCCAATCCTATTGGCGTTGCTAGAACGGTAGCGTGTGACGGCGTAACTGGAGACGTATATAAGCACGCCGGCACACCGGACACATTAGCTTTATTCTATTCGGCAACCACGAGAGGAAATTTCTTACCTGGAAGGAAGTCTGGCAGAGGAGATGGCTGGTGAGCAGTTCAGGCAGTGTGTTTCCCATGCCCGCGTCAACATCACGGCTGGGGACACTCGTGCCCTGTGTGTGTCTTGTCTGGGGATGCCGCACGCCCAGGCAGCTCACAAGGGGGCCGCTTGCGGCCATTGCAAGGCCCTACCCCTGAGGGCGCTGAGGTCCCGTGCGGCTCTTTTCTCCGAAGACGGCCGGATGCGCTCTCCCCGTGGCTCGGGCCCGCCGGTCGCTGAGTCGGCGCGGCGGCTTCGGTCATGGGGCTCCCAGCGTGACGAGGCTTTTTCCCGTTCCTCGTCTGCTCGTCTGACAGAGAAGATACAAAAAGAAATTTAACTCAGTGACACTGACGTTCCTTTTGGTGAAGCTGAAGTTGTTGGTGGGTAAAAAAACAAACTTTGATGCGATGCTTGTGCACCGGAGGAAAGGGGTCACCAGAGCTCCACCGCCTTCACAACCAATCTGCAGAAAGGGGCCTCCCTCCTGATCAGTGACGACGATGAAGGGGGACATGCCGACGCCCTGGATGACCCAGGTGTGATGATTAGGTGTAATTCCACATTGTACCAAATGGTGTCAGTAGTGGTTTGTGGGAACAAGTATACGTATGTCGTATACGACAGTGAAGATGACAAAGACAAACTTGATAAAGTGCTCGAAAAGTTTGATGCCCACTGCTCTCCAAAAAAGAACGAGACATACGAGAGATATGTTTTTCGTTCCCGGGTGCAGCAGCAGCGTGAACCCTTTGATAGCTTTCTGACCGACTTGAAGCTCAAAGCACAGTCATGCAACTTTGCTACACTGAAGGACTCCATGCTCCGAGACCAGGTCGTGTTTGGTGTGGAGGAAAGGCTACTGCGGGAAACGGAGCTGACGCTGGAAGGGGCCGTCAAGATCTGCCAGGCAAGTGAGCTCTCGCAAATGCATGTGAGGACATTCAGCGAGTTAGCGGCGAGCGCAGCGAGTGTGGGTGATGGCGCCGCTGTAAGCGTTGTCTCAAGTGAGGGACGGAGACGCCTTGCGCAGCAGACAGACGATCGAACATTCAAACCCAAACAGTGGCCTGCCTTTGGTAAGCTATGCTCTAATTGCCAGGGCAAGAATCACCAAGTGACACTGTTGACTCCAATACACAGAACTTTGTAGATGTTTTCAGAGGTTTTGGTGCACTGCCCTTCACATACAAAATCCAGTTAAGAGAAAATGTACAACCAATAGTGCATGCTGCACAAAGAGTTCCAGCACCGCTGAGAGACCGTTTAAAAAAGGAAGTGGACAGGATGACGACGCTGGGTGTGATAAAGAAGGTTGAAGAACTCACCGACTGGGTAAACTCCATGGTATGTGCAAAGAAAAAGAAGGGCGACCTGAGGATATGCATGGACCCAAAAGATCTGAACAAGAATATTAAGCGGGAACATTACCAGATACCAAAGCGTGAAGAAGTCTGGAGTGAGATGATGGGTGCCAGATATTTTTCAAAGCTTGATGCATCACAAGGCTTCTGGCAGCTGAAGTTGGATGAAAGCAGCACCAAATACTGCACCTTCAATACACCTTTCGGCAGTTACCGCTTCCTCAGATTGCCCTTTGGCATCATCTCAGCATCAGAGATATTTCACAGAGCTATGGAGCACATCATCGAGGGATTAGACGCAGTCCGGGTGTATGCTGATGACGTCATTGTGTGGGGCTCCACACTCCAGGAGCACAATGTGAGGCTGACAAAAGTGCTGGAGCGAATACGCAAGTATGGACTAAAGCTAAACAAGAGTACATGCCAGTTTGGAGTTCAAGAAATTGTTTTTCCCGGAGATAAGCTTTCTGCACACGGCATTCCACCTGACCAAGAAAAAGTTGATGCTATAAAAGACATGCCAAGGCCTACAGACAAGGCTGGAGTGCTACGCATCATGGGGATCGTCAACTTCATAAGGAAATTCATTCCCAATCTATCAGCAAAAACATCCTGCATCCGTGAACTCCTACACAAAGAGATTGAGTTCAAGTGGACAAGCAGACATGAGCATTGTTGGACCGTGACTTTAAATGACCCTTTTTAAACTATGTGTAGTCCTTGGTCCTGCGTGTTCTTTCATGAAGCAATAGGAGAAGATGTTTTTGGTCCATGAAGTCTGACTGATTATCTCTCCCTGACCCAGTGTTTTAGTATACATCGTCACGTCATAAAACAATAAAACAAAAGTGTAGGTCAGTCCATGATTGGCCCAAGTCCTCTGACCCCAATGTTTGTCCTCTGACTCCATCAATCACCATGCTGTTGCTGGGCAGATTACAAGCGTAATTCCTGAACTAAGATATCTTGGAGAAGAGATGTTTTGTACCACATTCCAAATTACCCCTCACCCATTGTTCCTAAGTAAGTGTCCTTATCTGATCATGCAGAGTAATCAACGGGGCAGGGTGGCGATGGCGCAATGGATAAGACCATGGCTTTGGTGTGAGAGACCCAAGTTCAAATAAAGCAACATATAAACTTCTACCTATAAAATACATCAGAGATCAATATAAGAAAACACAATACTAGTGGTTCCCCTGAGTAATACACAAATCATGCTATCAGAATCTCTCAGCATGAACGGCAAAAGCTCAGAGAAACCCTGACAACTGCACCTGTATTGGCATTCTACGACCCGGCGAAGAGGATCAAAGTGTCGACAGACGCCTCAAAGAACGGGATTGGTGCAGTACTTTTACGAGCTGAAGGTGAGCACTGGAAACCAGTAGCCTATGCATCCAGATCCATGACAGAGACTGAGTGTAGATACGCTCAAATAGAAAAAGAATGCCTGGGACTTGTGTTTGGCCTGGAGCGGTTCCACAGCTACATTTATGACCTACCATCTTTCACGGTGGAAACAGACCATCGCCCGCTAGTCGCCATGGTCAAAAAGAATCTGAGCGAGATGTCGCCAAGGATTCAGCGTTTGATGATGAAAAAGCAGAGATATGACTTTGAGCTGATCTCCACCTGATAATTGCAGATTTGCAGAGGACGTTCAAGATCACGTGAACATGGTGTCTTCTGCACTTCCTGTGTCAGATGAAAAGTCCAGACAAATAGCTCATGAAACTTCAAAAGATACGGAGCTGCAGTGAGTCATTGAGAACATGAAAAATGGATGGCCTGTGGGATCCTGTCCACAGTTCTACCACATCATTGTTATTCCAGAAAAGATGAGACAGGACATACTACACGGGATCCATGAAGGTCATCTTGGTGTCGAGAAATGCAAAAGACGGGCGAGAGACACAGTTTTCTGGCCTGGAATAAACAAGGACATTGAGAAACTAATAAGCAGATGTGACACGTCAAAAACACAGGAACAAGCAAACCAAAGAGCCTGTGGTGGTAACTGCAGGACCAACAGCGCCATGGCACACGGTTGGAATGCTAAATAAATAAATAGGGAAGTAGTGCAATGAATGTCTCAAATGTAGTGGAGTAAAACTTTTCTGTAAAAATCTACTCAATTAATAGAGTAAATGTAACTCTTTACTACCCACCTCTGTTTTCTTCTCTCCCCACCACATGTTAGAAACACAACGCAGAGTCCAAGGGGGACGCCTTGCTAATCCTGGACTTGAGTGATCCAGAATGTTCTGGTCTCATTTAACAAACTGACTGTATTTGGGGAGTTCATGGCTGAGGTTTCCTTCCTTAAAGTCACCAAGAACAATAAAAAGGGAGTCCAGGTTAGTCGCTCTACTCGCAGTATCTGGTCGGCCAGCGTGCGCTGTGCGTCGTGCACGTTGGCCTGCGGTGGAATATAAACACCGAGCAGAAAGTAGGAAGCAAACTCGCAGGGAGAGTAAAACGGTTTACAGTGTGTCAGTAAATATTCCAGATAAAGTTTTCAGTGAGTTGATCAAAAATCAAGCCGTTAACTTTGAAGATGCTGAAGTGTTGGTGTAGAGAAACTGTTGTCCTGATGGTGGCGCTAGAGGAAAGGTCAGGAGGTCACCATAAATGTTAGGATTCATCCTCTGGGAAGCAGAAACATCCACAGGACATTTATGGAAACCTGGCAACAGAACCAGCGTCCTAATAAGCCGCTGCTAGAAGGACAACATCCTGACCTGACATGTGTCCAAGATTTGGCTTTTAAAATGGAAGAAAGTGAAATGATCTGCTGAAATCTACTGAAAGCTGTTAAACAACAAGTGCTGCTGGAAGGGTTTTCATTCAGAGCAGATTAGTATTGTGAGGGAGGAATGGACTTTATTCCAGCAGCAGAACAAAGAGGACGACTTTAATCTGCATCTGGAACATCTGGCTGGAAACTTTATCTATTATATATCATTTACTTTAAGGATTACTTCATAAAGTGAATCAGGATTATATTTTTATTTAGTTTCCTCTTTATCTTGTTTGCTCATTGTGCTTCTGTGCTGCTAGTTTGTCCTCACTGTGTGGAACAACAAGAAACCTGCTGGAATATCTGATCAAATAGAAATCAATAGAATATTAAAGAAATCCCTCAGCTCAGTATGTTTGTGACTCTGGCTGAGATGGAGGTGAAATATGTGAACCTGGGCTGTGGTTTACTGCTCTCTTCCTGTCACAAACACTGTTTGACATCTGCTGCTTTTTGTTCAGGCTGCACGGATCATTTCTCACTGTGGGCGCCGCTCTTCCAACAGGAGCAGTAGTAGGTGGCTGAATGAGAGGTGGTAACGTTTTTGAGCTGCAACTCACAGCCGTTCTGATTATTCACAGCTGAGAAATCATCTTTCTGAGGGTGATTGAAACCTGAAGAAATCTGACCAGTGCTCTTATGAATACGTAGAATCACTCTGAATGTTTCTGTGTGTTTCTTCTGGTACCAGAATACATAAGTGTTACACTGGTCAGTTCCTCGACAGCTGAAGGAAACAGTTTCATCGACTCTCCTGGTCAATGTTAAATCGTCCTGAATCAGGTCTGCTGCCATGGCAACCAGCGCTGTAGAGACACAGACAGATAGATGAAGGTCAGTGTGACAGTGTTTGTTCCAGGTGGAGTTTGCTGGCTCCTGATTGGCTGGAAACACTCACCTGAACACAGACAGCACAGAGCAGCAGCTGGGAGGAAAAGCATTGTGTGCAGTGGTGTTTCCTCTGGTGAACCTGGGGAGAAGTGGCGCTCTGATGCAGCTGAGGCCAATCAAGGACGAGCTGTGAGATCAGACAAGGGCCGCGTGGTTTCTAACGGGTCCTCAGACCTCCCATCAGCCCCTGCGGCGGACAGATAAGGCTGCTGCTGCTGATTGACAGCTCAGCTGAAGCTGCTGTGTGGTTTTCTGCTGAGTCGGAGCTCATTCTGCTTTATTACAGTTCATCTCCTCTATTGAACTATTTCAAATCACTACAGCTACATTAGAAAGAAGGAAAACTACAAACTCGGCTGATTCTAACAGTGAAAATCATCAGTTCAAAGCAGGAACATGTAGTTGTGTCTCTCTAGTATAAAAAGTGGAACCAGCTTCTTGTTTTCATTGTGTGGTTCGTCACACTGAGACCTTCATTCTCCAAAATCCTGTTTGTGTTCAATCTTCAAATGTCTGTTGTTGAAAAAGAAGATGAAGGTTACTGTCAGCCAGCAGATTCATTTCTTACTGACACTATTTATCTTTCTGTTCTTCTCATTATTTTAACGTTGTTTCTAAATGCTTCTTGTTTCCCAGACTTCTCTGTTTCTCTGAACTGATTCACTGAGAAGTTTCTTCGTCTTGATTTGAATCTGACAGCAGATAAAAAATCTGGCTCACGATGATGCAGAAATACAAACAAACATTCCTGTAACCACAAGCACATTCAGGTTGGTGCTGAATTTAGTAACACAGACTGTTATCTGTTGTTTAACAGCTGGGAGGAAAATACAAAAGTACAAACTGTGACTTTAACCCTTAAACGTCCCCTCACATTTCATCATTTCATTTCTACGACACATGAAACCTTTTCCACACACAGCATCACATCTTTATTTAGTGTTCTGTTGTTCAGTCTCTTCATTAAAGATACATGATGTTTCACTTTGTTATTCTTAATAGAAAGTAAAATATTTCCCTCTGAATTGTAGTGGAGTAGAAATATAAAGTAGCAGAAAGTGGTAAAGTACCTCTAATGTGTACTTCAGTCCAGTACTTTTTTTTTTTTTTTTTTTTTTTTTTTTTTTTTTAAACCTGTCCTGCCCAGCAGCCTGGTATAGAGTATAATGACCTGGATACCATATTGTGCCAGACAGATTTTACTTTAACAAGAGAGTATTAAAATACTCCTTTGTCTGTTTTATTATTTATTTAATTATGTATTGATTTGTCACCGGGCCGGACAGGGGGCAGACACGGGGATGGGGGGGGCACAAACAGACAGCACAGAGAAAGGACAACACCTGCAAGAGAAGGGGGAAAGGGGGATGGAGGGTGGGGACAACAGGGAAAAGCTGTGGGAAACACCAATTGCAGAAAGCAACGAAACCTGCAAGAGAACAGAGAGGGGGGCTTGGGGAGGAGAAAAACAACAACAAACAAACACAAACAAAAAAAAAACAATAAAAATAATAATAATAGTAAAAGAAAACCAGCCGAACAGCAGCAATAAACAGCTGACATATTAATGACATATTAAGACAACTAAGAGAACAATGAAAACAAGAAACAGTCACACACACTAAATAAGCAACACAACACAGCCACGAGAGCTGGAATAATAATTAATTTAAATAAGTAACTGAAAGAAAGGCATCAGGAATAATTCTACCAGGGACAACCTAAGTTTGTTTGTGTCTGTGTGGGTGAATGTGTCTGTATGTGTGTGTATGTACATGTGTGTGCGCATAAGCCTGTTAAAGAATGTAGTTGTTAGTGAGAGTGGGACGCCACGACTGTAACAGGCAGGCAAGAACCCCAGTAGCCAATAGGGGTGGAAGAAAGAAAAAGAATAAATCAAATCAAAAAAAAACAAAGACTCCCAGATGCACACGCAGAAGACCCCGACCCAAATGCCAGTTGACAACGTAATGCCGACGGAACGCAAAAGAGGAGGAGCAGCGCCCGGACCGACCGCGGCGCAGACACAACATAGACCAGTGGCCTCCCCCATCCAGCACCCCACCGCCGCGCAGCAAACAACCACAATGCCCAAATGCCACGCAATCATCAACACCAATGCACAAGTGACGAGCCCAACGCGCACACTGCGCGAGCACAGCGACACCCATGCCCAGCAGCCCCCCGCGAATCCCGCGTGCGAGGTCGGGCAAATGAGAGAGAGCAAACGGAACAACACGACAGCGAAAGCCAGCGGAGAGAGACACCAGCAGCAAGTCCCAGCCCGGCAGCAAACGCGCCGCACAGGTCACCGTGCACCCGCCAATAAAAGTCCACCGTCCCCCCAACCGCCGGAAAAAACTAAGGCCGCCGGCGCCAGCCGACATCCCCCATGCCCAGCGCGCCCCCCGGCCGCCATGCAACACCAGCCAAACCAGCAACGAGGCAAAATCAACTAGCTCGAGGCAAAATCAACTAGCTAGCTCAGTCCAGTACTTGAGTAAATGTCCACGGTTACTTTGAACCGCTGTCTGTATGTGTGCAATATCAAATGTCACTAGATCACTAAACTTAAACAGCAAAGATGAAGTGGAGGAAATAATCAGCAGGTTGATCCAGAATGAAAAGAATCATCAGCTGCAGTCTGATACTAAACAGTTCAGAATGAGCTGCAGCTCAACAACTACAGCAGCAACATCCTGCTGCACATTAATGAGGAGGAAGAAGAATCTGAGGAGAGAATATATAATAGCACAACAGACACAGTTAATCTTGTTATTAATGACAAACACAAGTTTTCCTGCTGTCACGTGTCAAAATGTCTATATAAAAAAGTTCTGCATGCTGTCAGGATTATAACTGTCACACTGCTGCCCTCTAGTGTCTGCAACAACACACTGCGTCTCCACCTGATACTACTACTACTGCTATTAATACTAATACTGCTGCGACTACTGTACTGCTGTTACTGTGTAGAACAAATCCTTCACACTGCTGCCCTCTAGTGTCTGCAACAACACACTGCGTCTCCACCTCATACTACTACTTTTTCACACACTCAACATTTCTCCTGTTTTAGCTTCTCTGCATTGGCTTCCTGTAAAGTCCAGAATAGAATTTAAAATCCTTCTACTTACCTACAAAGCTCTTAATGATCAGGCACCATTTTATCTTAAACTACCAGCAATTTCCCCCAATTTCCAGGACAAAGACCTAAAATAACACACCCTAAAAGAATCAGGAATAACTCCTCAACCATTCGGCTTGGTGCATAATAAGTGAAGATATTTATGTCACCAAAAATCAAATACAAGCTAGCGCACACTGATATGACTTTACTGCATTTATTGTGAGTGAAGTAGTATACTTTGTGCTTCCACGTTGTTTAAAGACAGACACAATGCTTGGTTCAGGTGCTCATATGTTGGGACCTCCATACTGGTCCGTAGAGTGGCGTGGCAATCAGGGGCAGGGGAGCCTCCCGCAGCGTTTCCAACCACGGGCAATAAAACACGAAATTCCCTGTGCACAGCAACAATATTTATTTTTAATATTTATGTTACCATTACAGACTAAATAAAGGAAAATATGAGATTTCCATCCTTGCCTTGTATAAAATCTATATTTTACCATTTATCACCATCAAAACCTCCTCCTGCAGGTTATAATGCAACTGAATATCTCCTGCTACACCTGGACTACAGCTGGAACTGTAAATTTGATGAAGAAACTCAAATACACAATTTATAAAATTATACCCAGGAGGTGTTCATGTTAGTATTATAGATCTACTGTTTACATGTTTCTGTCCACACAAACGTTACAAATAACATCAAGTTCTTAAAACATTGAAATATTGATCAATACAATGACTAGTGATCAATATTGCTTGGACCAAAGAACCCCTTTGCTACCGCAGCCCTTTCATTCGATGTAACTACCACGAGTCAGCGATACTGTAACACTCTGGATGTCAAAGCCAGGAGGGAAACGTCAGAGGTCAGAGTGCATTATATATGGTGCCTTTCTCATTTCCCAAAGTGCCTCCTTGCTCCTCGAGGTGCATTTTAGGAACTGAGATGTTCTTCAAGATGCACTGAGATCAATTTCCAGGTCACAGGCTCGAGCATCGAGGAGGCCCTCGGTCTGTTCAGACATGTTTTTACTTATTTATCAGGGTTGATGAACCTGAATTAATCCAGTGTTCATATTTAGATGCAAATTAGCACATATTTCATTAGATACTGCCTCATTTGCTTATTTAGACATAATATTTTCTACCCTATTCACTTCACGCAGTGTCTCGCCTTAAACAAATGAGCTGATTATTTGTTTGTAAACCATCTGTTTTTTTCATGTAGTTTGGTTTTTATTCCACCTTAAATTTACTTTTATTCTTAAATATTTGTAGCGCTGCTGACTTAGTGCTGCTGCCTGTTTTATTTAGCATTTTCTTTGTAAATAAAATGTTAAAAACACGCCTGTCGCTGTTGAGAAAAGTCCAAGATGATGTCATCTAAACACTTGTTTTGTCCAATCAGAACTTCAAACTTCGATGGATCAGGCTTAGTTGCCATCACACGCCCTCAGTATGGCACTTGAGTCACATGATAACAGGTGGTTGTCTTCAGGTGGTAACATCTGTCTCTGTTCACAGACGCTCTCTGGGTTGAACCGCTGTGGTTTGATCCAGTGAATAGTCAGGAGCGAGAGGCGCTGAATAAACGGGGACTACAAAAACACTACAGACGACATTTGTTCTTGTGAAAGTCGGACTGAATCAAATATTATTGTGATTGTGATGAGATTTGTGTGTCCTGGCCTGCTGCAGCATCATCGGCTCTCTGGGCCAGTGTGAGATGGTCAAGAAGGAGTGAGGTTGGATTAATGGACTTTGGAACCTCAGGCCCCAACTCGTCCCTTTCCGTAACTGTCGTCAGCAGGAAAACACGTTCCGCCTCGCTTTTAGGAGGTTGAGGAGGTAAATTTGTGTCTCCTCCCCTGTCAGAACGCACAACCTCATAATCCATGTCGCCCACTCGCCGTGTGACTGCCAGGGGTTCTACCACCTGGTGAGTAATTTAGAGGTGGAATAATACAAGCACCTTATCTCCA